CAGGGGTCGAGTAAAATAAGTGAACCAGAGAGAGAGAGAGCAGACGGATCTTATGGGGCAAGGGAGAGACTGTGATAAGATGTAGGGGATGTAGGGGAGCGATAAGGCCAGTGTGGAGTGTGGAGGGTTCTCAGGAAAGCCGCTCAAAAGGGAAAACCGTACCACATTTAATAAAGCAAGTAAAAAATTGTGAGTGAAGGTGTGATACAAGGATATAGGATCGATGATTAGCTTAGGGCGGAAGGAGAGATACCACAACTGGTTAGCACACATTTGGTCAAAGGATCGGCTTCACTTGTCTCTTTTACGAGTTGTTCTATAGTGCTACGAATGGCAAAACTCACTGACGATGCCAACTAAAATGCCGGCTAAACATCTGGGAATGTACCACGTCCACGCTAAGACTTTGGAAATGCTTATACATACAATGGACTCCGGACAAGATGCGTTATTCTAAGTCTTTCTACCAAACTTAATTTAATTTAAAAAGAATCTATTAAATAAGTCTTGCTATTGAGTCGTTATATTTTTTAAAATTTCGCTAAGTACTATTAGAAAATCTAAGTAATACCTGTAAATAACGACTTCATGCATTTTCTGTGCTTATTATTATAAATTCTAGAAAGTTGAAACAAGTTCTAAGCCGAAGAATACTTCAACTCAAGGATCCTGCAAATTTGACAGTCTCAACATCTTCGTGTAATGTCGTAAGGGCTGAACCGGTGAGAGAAACGGTGACGCTAAACAACGCAATACAGTCAATCACACCAACAAAGCTCAAACTCAACAACTCTCCCTCCATTTGTTGCTCTTCTGTCCTTCAACCTACGTTCGGAATCTTGGCTGACATGCGCCATTGCATCCGACAGCTACGTGAAGAAAACGCCTCGTTACGCCGTCTGCTTTTGACCCCACAGCCGGTAATTCAGGGATCCCCTCCTACTCCACAAGGAGTTGACCCACAACCTGGGCAGAATTTAATGATGAGTGATAATGCAAAGCAATGGTCCCCAGCCATTTCAACTAGTATGCATAAGTCTGATGTTCCGGGCTCTAGGAATTCAAGTCTTGGCTCTGTTTTAAGCTCCAAAATGTCAAGTCAAGCCAGCCTTATCGGCATCCCAAAGAGCGGATCTCAAGCTGCAGCCACGTCGACAGAAATGGCTCTTTTGGTTGATGTGGAATTGAAAGAACAGTTGGAGACCAATGAGGATCAAGAAATCAGTCATTCACGGATTGAGCAGATAGACAAAATTCCAACGTCACCGGCCCTCAGTTCGTCGAGTAAACTGAAAGCCAATACAGCTGTAGCCGAAGGAATAACCAATCTTGAAATAGGCCTAGACGATGAGTTTCTAAACGCATCCAACATAAGTAGATGGCAACAATCCCAAGATGAGAAAAAATACAGTACTAGCTTAGCAACTCAAGAGAGTGCAACAAATACCGGTTATAATACACCTTCACGACACTACGAGACCCATGATGACTTGGGCTCAATACCTCTGCATCAAGCCTTCAGTCTTGAAGAGGTGATGAATAATTCATCAAAAATAATAGCTTTTCCTATTTAGTAACGGCATTTTCTGACCTTGAGACAAGACGTATGAACCTTGGCATCTAATTCTCCATCCGTTTTTTGGCTTAGAAAATTAATAATAGATCAAAATAGGGCAAGAGTTTATACATGAAGAAAAGTTGGGTTTCGAGGAATCTCAACCAGAGTTTATACACCCAGTCATTCTACTGCTAATTAAAAAGAACTTTCGTTTAAATTCAAATTTAACATCTTAAAAACCAGATCGAAAAGATGAAAAGGTTCTTAATTGCTTAAATATGATGCCTTAGAGTCGGCATTCAAAATGCTCGACAAACGAAAAACCGCTGTGGAAGATTATAAATGGACGTTTTGTGATTTTACTCCAGAGAGAGGTATATTAAGCATGAAAGACAGGAAAATGACTTAAGAAATTAGGGTTAGCATAATGCCTAGTATCATTTTGAGTTTCTCTAGGTCCTGATAGCCACTGCGACAAAAAGGCATGAAAAACAAATTCTCGGATGGAATAAAGAAGGTATCACCTGCCTATAAGAGTGTATCATACGAATTTATTCACAAAAAATATTTATCTTTGCTAACTTGACATCGTTAGAGTCGTCTTGTCTAGATCCTTAGCAAATGATATGATATGATATATGATACGCTTATGTACAAGGCGTGTTTGTTCTTTCAGTTAGTGAAAAACGTGGTAGACAAAGGTCCTACTGCATACCGAATGATATTTGCCTAAAGATTTGGTACAGCATTCTTTAACTCTTGCCTTGATAAATACGAGTTTGCACATCAAGTTATGATCAAGCAGTTTGGGGAAAAATATGAAGTCAAGCTGAATTATCGGCTTATTTTGATGAATGCTAATAGGAACTAGATGATTAAGCAATAACCTTAAAGGCTTCGAAATTGGTAGCGGTTCGGAGTAAAATGGCCTTTATTATCTATGGTATTTTAACATCTTATCTTTTCCAAGATTATATTTTTAACAGTTCAGATATAAATTGAAGCTTCTTGCCTATATCGGGCCTTCTATCACATTCATTACACTTTAAGCCTGATAACACTTATGTAAACTAGTTTGTGCGTTATTTTCTGCAAATTCACTTAATATTAACGCAGGAGCAAATATATTGATTAGATGAAGGCCGTGTTTAAGGGAATGCAAGCCAGGATATGTGATATCATAGAGACTTTAACATTGTAAACAGTTATAGGGAGTCTAATTCTAAATTTCATCACTCCTCTCCAGGCAAATCCAACCATTTTAATGTTTTCAGCTAAAATAAAAGCTATAGAATGTGTAATTCACCGCATACAGAGCTAAAGATTATCTGTAATAGACTGAAACTTGTCTATTTATCAAAATATGAATATAATTTTAGATTCTTTGATAATTAACATCTTTGGGGCCTTGAAATATTTTGATATTTGACTGAAGCAGAGTTTTTATATGCTTTAGCTCTCCTTGCCTCCTGAAAAAAACGAATATATTGAGACAAGTCAAGTCAACGATGCTCCTATGGCGCCTCGTGTGCCTAAAGCCAGCGAACGCAAGGTAATTAATTGACTGTTATACAGAAAGGTGTTTAACTTATAGCAACAACCCTCATAGAAGCCATATATAATCGAATGAGTTAGGGATGAACATTTCTTCTAAATATTTTAAGATGTTTGTACATTAAGCTAGGCCGATTAGATAATAACCATCGTTTGAAAATAAATTATACCCCCACCAAAGATAGGAATTCAAATAATCCAAATCATGAAAAATATTCCAAAATGTTGGAATTCTGCTAATGGCCTGTGGGAATTTAAATTGGCATGATTATTTGCTACCATCTTTGACACTTCCTTGCTTTGGCTTATTATATTGGAGTCTAGATGCAGTGTAAATTGCAAGGAATGCAATGAGACTAAGTGGTAATGGTTGGCCGCTTAATAGCTTAGACTTCCATAGAGGGTTCTGATGAAGTCTACGAGACCTCCGTCTATCCTATATAAAGAATTATATTGGAAATCATTGCGAGATAAAATTAACTGTTTTATTTCGTCGTGAACAGGTCAATTATCAGGCTCTAG